TTCCCCTTGAGAACAATAGCTCATTAAATCATGTCTACAGCATCGAGATGTTTTTAGTTTCAGAAAAACAAAAAACGATTGAAATTGAAGAAATAATTCTCGAATGGGTAAGGGATCATTGTGAATATTTGTCAAAGGTTATATCGGAGTACGATTTCGATATAATGTCACGATCAACAATCAATATCACGTCTTCAGAGGAGTTATCTCAAATTTTATCGTGTTTTCAGGATATAAGCAAGAACATACCCTATATAAACTCCACCAATATTAAGAACTATGTAAATAAGTCGTCTCTGTCATGTCAGGAAAAAATAACAAAACTTGTAAATAAGTTTAATGACGTGTCTGTGTATCCAGGAGCAGCAATAGCATACGTGAATAAGAATGACTCTATAGACTTGTATCATACTCGATTTGAAATTACCTTCAGCCATGGAAATAGCCAGATTGTCCATCTGAGTTACTGCACTCCAGATGATGATCGACTGAATTGTACAAGTGTCACTACCTACAGCTTATCTGAGTATACGTTTGTTAACAATACTTTGACAGTTTATGGCAAGGCTATCAATGCAAATGACTTTTTCATAGATGAGAATGACAAATTGTATCTTTGTGTGATAGAACAAACTGACCCAACACAAACCACAAAGTTCGTTCTTGAAATAATTACTTACGTTTGTTCGTCAATATCTGTAATAGCCTTAATCGTATTAATCATATTTCATTTTGCATTCCCCAGACTACTCAATCTACATGGAAAGAATCTTGTTTGCCTTTCATTCTCATTGCTGATAGCACTGTTTTTGTATTTGACATGTAGATTTCTACCAAGTTCTGTCCAAATATTTCTCGCGGTATTTCATCATATGACGTGGTTATCAGCATTTGCATGGATGTCTGTAATTTCATATGATATTGCTCGAAAATTTTTCGTCAAAACAATGATAAAAGGAGGCGGAAATGAAAACAGGCGTTTTAAATTCCATTGTCTGTATGGCTGGGGTATTCCGTCATTCATTGTTACAATTTGCAGTGTCTTGTATTTTGGATTCCAAAGAGAAATGATAAATTACAATGGAAATGGATTTTGTTGGATATCTAATAAAACAGCTCTTCTATATGCATTGTTTGTTCCAGTAATTTGTAGCTTTGCCTTTTCATTTATATGCTTTTCGATAGCTTTATATGGAATCGAATCTTCCCGCCGTTCCGCAATAGCTGTAACTAAACGTTCTGATAACCGGAACATGTGTCTAATATACACAAAACTTACTGTCATCCTAGGAGGCACCTGGATACTTGTATTTATGACATCAAATATGGATTTTATGGGGCTGAAATATATCAGCACAATTTTGAACGGACTTCAAGGATTGTTTGTTTGCATCATTTCACTCTGTAACCAGAGGACATTTAAAGAAGTTAAAAGAGCAAACACAAAATCAAAATCTAACAAGAATACGTCAATGCATTTTACTTTCTCGACTATATAGAATGGAAAGATTAGCAAAATTTCGAAATACGAACTATTAACCTTACTTAATTCCTTTTGAACTTGTTGGTGTAGTATTGATTCCGAAACACTTAATTAATCATGTCAACCTTTTCTGCTGTTGCCGGCCTTACCCTGATAAGCCTATTTGTACGATTTACAAATTTTAAAGTGACAAAAAGAGTTCCATATGAACACGGTAACTATTTCCACTCGTTGCTTTGTTTGGTAACGTTTTATTTTGTCAGTTTTTATGGACCTCCCCTTTTTTTACCTTGAAGCTCAGTTCAAAAGGCTTATTGTGTTGTTAGTATAGACTTATCGAGTGCCAACCTTTTTCCCCAAAAATCATGAATCATTTATGGAATAAAACCACTAATTTATAGCCCCATTGCTTTCTTTACTAAATTTTGCTATTTCAGGCATTTATAGCTATTTTGTCTTAAGTTCAAATAAAGTGGCAGTCATTTCATAGAAAATCTTTACCTTATCCTGACTTGTGCTGAAAAATTCCCCATATCTTTAATTGCATATTAGGGCGCACTAGTTTGTATGAAATTTAGAATATAAATAAGTTTATATGTTTAAAATTTGCGTGCTTCAAATCCCGGTTTATATTAATTTTTGAAGCTACAAACGTAAAAATAAAATTGTAATCAATTTGCATGTATTTTCATTTGAATAAAAACATTCACGTTGAAATTGAAAAAATCTAACGAATGCTAATTTTTGATATTATTGTTTAAATTTCTCATGTCCAGTTTTAAAATATCATAATGGATAAAAAGGGATACCTGAATTGCCACAGTAGAACAGACCACACCTACCAACAACATTCGACTCCTCCGGATAAAAAATACAACAACAAAGACAAACAACAACGACCAACATATGATCCATATAGTCTGACTTTGTACAGATAAAAATGGGATTGCGTTTAACTAGTTTTACGTCCATACAAACTACCCTTTTACCTATTTAGCTGCATATGCAAAGAATGAATATATTGTATCGAATTTAGCTTTGACACACGAACTTTAATCTTATCCACTTCATTTGAACTTTGGTGGATAGTTGTCTCATTGGCAATCATACTACATCTCTATATTTGTATATTGAGAAGGTTTAAAGGGATGCGATTTATATTAGTTTTCGGCTTCCCCAATCCCTATATATGTGTTGTATATTTGTACATTTTTGAACTTTTGAAAAAAAAATATTGTCTAAACTAACTTAAAGAAGATAGAATGTCATTGGATATTTAAATTGTTATTCACTTCTGTGACGTCGCTATTAACGTTTTTCATAATATTTATAGAATAGGTGTGTTAGGCTTTAGCAAAAAAAGTCGTGTTATAAATACATGTATGTATTTGTTTTTTATAAATCTTTCAATTGTTTGCTTTAGCTAAATCATTAAGTTTAAGATTCAAATGTTTACCTAACAATTTACCTTAAATATATAATTTTTATACAGTATGGCTTTTTTTTAACTGTGCCAAACGGGTACGGTCATTTATTGTTATTCTGTTGTAATCCAGTTATAAACTAATGTTTTTATTGTTTTTTAGAGACATGCAGTAGATATAACTTTGTAGAATTGAAAATAAATCAGAAAAACAAACTATTATTTATGTTAAAACATGGAGACTTCAATTCTTTTTAGATAGATTAACTGCCAGTCTAATGAAATATTTACTGATTGGTTGAGTAAACGGAGGCTTGAAATTCGACATTACCTAAAAAGATTCCTCGTACGTAAAAGGATACTACAATAGCTCAGAAAAAATTTGGAAAGCAAACGAAAATAGTGGCTTCAGTCAAATGAGCAAATATTTTACACCGTTCTGTGTATCAGAAGACGCTAGATATCCTGGCTACTTAAAAAGCTTGTAAAAATACAGAATTATTGGAATGTCGGCTTCAAAGGCCAATAATTTCAGATATACCTTATTCAGGGTAATACATAATAAAATTGAGAATGGAAATGGGGAATGCGTCAAAGAGATAAACTCATCATTGGTACCAGGATTACATTTTGTACGTCTATAAAATACTCATCAGTGACACTCGAAACAAAAAGGTTAAAACCACCAAATAAAGTACGAAGTTGAAGTGCAATGCAGACCCAAAATATTGCACACAGTTGGGAAACAAATTTTTTCCCATTTCAAACTCTTTAGTGATTGGCAAGTTCTCCGAATGAACTGATTTCAAGTTAACAACAAACTAATTCGGGTCATTTATATAAATCAAACATCAAATCTAATGACGGTTATATTGTTTTTATCATTGACTATGCGAAATAGCAGCATCGGTTGAAGACGCAGTAAATTTCCCTTCAGGTCGTACACTAAGCCTTCAGCCTTGTCTACTTTTTTGGCGTAGTCAATGCTTAAAACAGCAATATTCTGAAAAAAATAAAATTTCAAAATCAATTTCTAGTGCGAGAAAATTCATTTAATCAACCAAAACTAACGATTACAGAATAAATTATCTTTTTTATCAGAAGCATCGCAAATCGTCATGCTTCTAAACAGATATCTGTATTTGATTTTGAGTGGAATTGACCAATTATTGAATATCCAAATTTTGAAAATGATTTATCATTCAATATAATTTTTGATTTAAAATATTTCCTCTTTATTTCCTTTTCTTACTTTTTTCATTTAATTTTCATTATTCTATTTACCAATTTCAAGTTTGATTTTGTTATTTCAAACTTGTAAACACAAGTTGCTTCCCTTTTCAAATTGTAAAAGAGCTAATAGAAAATGAAAACAACACTATAAACATTTCATGCGTCCTAAACTCTTTCTAAATTTACTTTAATCAGGAACGCTTAATGCCGAATATTTGAAAGCCAGTGATGTACAAGAACCGAAACAGTTGCAGAGCTTTATGATAAAAAGGACCTTTAATGGCCTAATAGCATAACAGGTGCCACATGTGGAGCAGGATCTGCTTACCCTTCCGGAGCACATGAGATCACCCCCAGTTTTTGGTGGGGTTCGTGTTGCTTAGTCTTTAGTTTTCTATGTTGTGTCATCTGTACTATTATTTGTCTGTTTGTCTTTTTATTTTTGGCCATGGCGTTGTCAGTTTGTTTTCGATCTATGAGTTTGACGGTCCCTCTGGTATCTTTCGTCCCTCTTACGTCTTACGAACTCATCATAGATACCAGACTTAAATTTTAATACGCCAGACGCGCGTTTCATCCCCAAAAGATTCACCAATGACGCTCGAATCAAAAAGGTTTAAAACTCCAAATACAGTCCGAAGTTGAAGAGTATTCCGGACCCAAAATGTTGACAGGTTTTGGTGATAGTCCACCAGCAGTGGTATCGACCCAGTGCTGTAAAAAATGAAAACAGCACTTTATAAATTGTATGCGTCCGACGTGCTTTTCTGGATTTACCTTCATCAGGAACGCTCAATGTCGAATGTTTATTTGTACCTTGAAGTATATATCCCTTATAAATGTAAGAAGATGTCTAAACAATGTATATTGAAATTGGTATTTTATTCAAATCAATCACTCATAAAGCTATTGGAAATCTAAATAATGTATTCTTTAAACATAAAACTAAAAAAGAAATCAAGTAACAGAATACATTACCAAGAATGTACTCTCAGTCTGCATGTCTACACTCTATTGAAACTTTGTTTCATAGTTAGATGAAATAATAACAATTAAATGTTGCATACTACTTTGTGTCAGTCTGTTTTGTTTTATAGATTTTGTCCTGTCTTTTGTAGTACTGTTTCAGTACTTATTTTTTACTGATACATCTGCAAAATGTCAGTATTGAAACAGTATTGACACAAACAATAATAAAAGTTACTCAGTACTGGAATATTACTAAGTAATCGATACTTCAGCTACTGTGGATTCATTTTTTTTTCGAACATACCAATTTTCGTGGATTGAGGAAATTTTGCTTTTTCGTGGATTATTGATTTCGTGGTTTTACCAAAGTCTACATACAAGCCTTTAGAAAATTTGTACTTCGTTAAACATTTAAAAAAAAAAAAAAGTAAAATCACAAAAATACTGAACTCCGAGGAAAATTCAATCGGAAAGTCCCTATAATCACATGGCAAAATCAAATGACAAAACACATCAAACGAATGGACAACAACTGTCATATTCCTGACTTGGTACAGGCATTTTCAAATGTAGAAAATGGTGGATTGAACCTGATTTTATAGCGTGGTTTACCTATACCCACGAAATCCACGAAAATTGGTATCCCACGAATAATAATGAATCCACGGTATGCTGAAAAAAGTCAGTTCTAAATCACCCCTGAAATAAATCTTAAGAAATATGAAGCAGTATTGTCGAAATCATTAGAGAATCATTACTGAAAAAGACAGATCTGATATTTAAAAGTAGATGATTGTGCAGATACGAGTGAGAGAGTGAGCAGTACTTTTGTAACAGAAAGGATACCAGTCTATCATATGTAGTATTTAATCTTACAGGGTACGTAAAATTTATAAAGCAAACTCTAAGTATATTCTTGTTATTGTATAATGATTATCCCGTCCGTTGACATTACTGGAACTATGTTATACACTACTAAACAAATGTGTTTGCAAGATTAGAGAAATTATCTTGATCACTGTTATTTTGAACACTATTTAAAACTGTTGGTAGTAATTTAAAACAAATGTCTGAAGCATCTTAAATTATTCAAGATACTAGTATTACAACATTTTCTTTATTGAAGAAATTTGTATAGCAACTGTTCAGCTAAGTTACTGGACAAAATTAGTAAAAACAAATATATCTAAAAATAGTAAATGTCTATTAAACCAGTACCATAGATCACAACCCCTTTTAATTGATTTTCATGTCACGTTCTTTTAAGTATCTTTTGTTATTCCATTAACCGTGGAAGGATTTGTTCAAACTTGCAGTTCAATCCCGTTGCATGGCTATGAGATCAAGTCAGCTGAATCCATGCGCATATTGGGCGATTTAAGGTTTCATTGCATAAACACGTGTCTGTTGTTGAATGTGTTTGTGTCGTTTGGATAATATATTATAGGCGCATTGTCTTTTTTATTAAAACGTATCTGCGTACTATAAATGTCAATAATATGTAAATAAGTTTCACGTGTATAGTGGAAGGTTGGCAGCATATCTATACAGATATGCTGCGACTGTCACCCAAATTGCAAATTGAAACAGAAGTGAATTTATATTTTATAAATTTTGTCTGGCAATTCAACATTTCAAACATTGTACTATAAAAAACAAAATTGCAAACAGGGTTTCATAAAGGAGTAAATTGATAACCAACACTTAACAAAACTTGTACATTTTCAAAATTACAAATTAATAAGAATGGGTTAATAACAATAATATATATATCTATAGTAATACTGGTTGTTCTTTTCAAGCAAACATCACATTCGTTATACCCTCAAAGTTCATAAATATCAATAACTTAACAAAATAAAACAAATATAACATAGACATGGAAATAGATGCACAAAATATACTGTTATTTAGTTTCTCTGTTGCATCTGAATTGTAATGAAGCAGGTTATCTAAACATTTGAAGCATAATACAAACGGGATTTTTAAAATCTCAATGAAGACCACTGATAATTAAATTTGGAAAACAGTTTTACTTGAAATGTTTAGAAAATTGCTAAAATTTATGTACTGAATGTTAATTGCCGAAATCAATGCGTATAGCGACTCATTATGACAAGACAGGAAACAACAAAGAAAATCACTGACATAATTCAATTTCAATAAACACAATAATATAAGACAAACTACAAAATGATGATTTAGACCTATATAAACACAAATAGTTACATATAAACATAATTTTAGTTTTTACAACATGTGTTTATGAAATAACCTACATCGGGTACGTAATATTTATAATAATGGTTATTTCGAATTGATTGGTAAAAGCAAATCTTTTTCTCTCTTTCTCTTATACACATTTATAACACACTATATATCGTTCAAGAACATAATCATGCATATTCAGATTTATGTACAAATCAAAGCTTAATCAACATTTCCTGGTGAATGATTTTCTCTCACATTCGCCGTATCATGCACTTATAACTATGCAAATTAACAGGTACCCTTTATTCATAGTTGCATAGGCCTAAAATACACTTTAATTTCAAACAAATAAGATAACAAATGGTACAAAGGAAAACTATGCAAGCGCTCACTTTGTCAATATCATTTAGAAATTTACGCAAACGATATAAACAAATATTAGAAATAACCAGTAAGAATATATTTTAAAATAAATGGAGAATGTACTAAATTGCCTATTAAGTGCTTCTTGTGGGATAATGTATTACATTATCAATTATGTGCTTTCTGTGATCGAATAAATATCATTTAAACTAATTTTATTCTTTCAAAATTTTATCCCTACATAAAAACTATTGTTCAATCTGGCAATTTTAAAGCACAAAATGTCAAGCAAGTGATCAGTAATATAATAATCACTGACACCGTCTACAACAGACTCATCAATGACGTTCGAATAAAAAAAGTTAAATAGTCCGAAATAAAAATAACATCGAAAGGTTTTGCCTAATACAGCTTGGATAATCTATTCCTGGGATAGAAAATCATACGTTTTGTAAGCAGTTAGTTTATAAATATAACCATATCAACGATAATTCATGTCAAAACAGAAGTGCTGAAGTGCAAAGGAACGCCATAAACCTAGAAATAATCACAAACATGTGTACTCACATCATAATCTTTTGAATTGACAAAGAAACATCGCAATTTACGTATGACGGTCACTAATTTGTGAATTTGAATGATAAAACGACAAAATGTTGCACTTTTGTAGGACATTCCAAATGATTTTATTTGTAATTCAAGCTTATGTATAGGAAAACATTCGAACACATCTTTTTATGTCAGTATGCCTAAAGTTTGTAGACATTTATTTATAGGTTTCATAACAAATGAGAATCGGATATCACTTGATATTAACTCGAGTTTTCCAATTCAAATGTAAAAATAATCGAGATTTTGGTCAATTTTCGTCTTTAGTATTGAAATTGAAAAAAGGAAATTGATACCTAATCTCACGAGTTGTTAAATCGTTTTGTCTTATGATAAAAGCGGGATGACACATAATTGTGTATAATAACTTGAAACACCTTGATCAAATCTACATTTTGGAAAAGTATTTAAAAATATACATGATTTTTTATACTTTCATACTATCTTAATCCGTTTATACATCATAATCATGTTTGCATGAATTAAAATATGAGCATGACAAATATCCTATCGGTCATAATTATAATCACATTGTGTGCATCTACTTTTTTTCAAAAAGAGTAACACAACCAGATAATAGTGGACAGAAACAGAACGTGAATAACATTCTTGGTTGGAACAATTGATCCGTTTTGTGCGCCAGTCTCCTGTGTCCGATCTGCAAAGAAGAAAATTAAAAAAATGATGATTTTCTTTTTTCATTAAGCATCTCATTTTTGTATAATAACTACACGTAATGCACGTAGAAGTCACAAGATTATTTCCATACAACCACAAAATCAATGTTTTGTAAGAAAAACCTGGAAATATATCTGACCAATAAATAACATAGAAGGTGATTAAATTCGTTATGTATTGAACGATCTGTGAATGTTTCTAGGAAACCCATTCAAAACGTTAAGGAAATTGGGAGGGGCGGTGGTAAGGCAACTCTAAATTCTTGAGATATGAATTCACACTTGAGGATTAAAATGCCATTAATTATTGAACTATTCAAATATGAAATTTATGAACTGCTCCAACGGATTAATGTGATAGCATGACTCAAAAGACACTACAACACCATCACAAATTAAATGAAAGATAATATATGTGTGTGTCTCAACTCTCCCGCGACATATTTTCGAAGTCTTAGATTTTTAGATACCAGAATAGTCATCTAATCTGAAATTTTACCGTTTGTGTCCTGTTCGCAATTGTGAAATTTTGACTAAGTTTGGATTCGCATGGCAGTTGATAGATGAATAGCATGAGACGTTTACCCTGTCGACACACCTGGTATCGCTCCTTTTAGCGTTCATGTGATTGATTCCCTCGATTTTTGTTTGTTACCTTGATTTATCTTCTTAATCGATTTATGAGATGTCAACATCGGTAACCTACAAATGCCTTTAATAAGCAGGAGTTGCAGATCTATGATGCAAACGGAGGACGTACACATAATCACATTACTGTCACTATGCGGTTGTCATCTGTTAGATCATAATGATTAATTTACCTTAGTACTTAATCGTCCTCTAAAACCTCTTTTTATTTTTCCATAAACAGCTTATATATTTTGTGATATACCTTTTCTGTCCATCCATCCGTCCGTCAGTCATGCCTGTTGGTTTTTTTTTTTTTGTTTTTTTTTAAATGCATGAACTTTAGATATAATGTATTTTTTTAGAAAGTATATGATGATGTTGATACAAATCTCTTCAGATTTTCCCACAAACCACTGAACATAGTTTCTTACTGTTAACTATGTGGTAAAGGTAAATGATGTGACACATTTTCAGATACGTCCCTTCAATTTTGCTAAAACGAAAACTTATCATCGGGTTTGTACTTACATGAGCAACACGATGGGTGCCACATGTGGAGCAGAATATGATAACCCGTCCGGAGCACCTGATATCACCTCCAGTTTTTGATGGGCTTCGTGTTGCTCAGTCTTTAGTTTTCTATGTTGTGTTTTGTGTACTGTTTTTGTCTTTTTGGTCTGTTTTCTTTTTCAGCCATAGCGTTGTCAGTTTATTTTTGACTTATGAGTTTGAATGTCCCTTTGGTATCTTTCGCCTCTCTTGTATTGCATTACAGTTACAGGAGTTATTAACAATTTTACATCTTGTCGATACTTATATGTGGCTTTGCACCTTAAACCACTGCAATAATTCATTAAGTTCGAAAGGATTAAACAGATGTTTAAGATTACGATATAGAAAATAAAAACCTTTCTTGAGCAACAGAAAGAAACACCGACCATTTAATCCGTTTGCGTTAGCAAATAATTACTTTATCTTTTGAAAACAAAATTGAACGCTTAATTTCAAATCAATAATTTTTCGATTTTATTGATTTGTTTGAATGGGGACTATTTTTTCGTCAAAGAAACTGCTAAAAGGGATACTATTAATGTTAAAATAAGAAATATTATATATATGTCAATCTATAATATTATTGTAGTTTAAGTAGATAATTGACTATTGTTTATTGGTCAGCGGCCATTTACAAATTTCTCTTCTCCGAATATAAATTGACTGATCATACTGCGAAAATGGTATTTCTGGCTTCTCCGTAATGTTTTTAATGTGTTGCTTACTTATAACAGTATTTCTTACCATTATTTCTACCATACGTTTCAGGTGAATTTTGGTACCCATGCGACCATGGGGGAAAGTACTGGTCCTCATGGCCACCTTTCCATGATGAGTCATGTGGATCAATATAATTATGTCTTGTAGTCGGTTGAATAAAGGTATCTGCCGTTGTGCTAGGGGCTTCTGTTCTGACCACTAATTCTAAAATATAATGACAGTCAAATCAATTTTTTTGTTTTGATGTTCTTAAACATTTTATATTTTTGCATTCCAAAGCAACATTAAATACGAGACAACAGTAGTTTACCAATGTTCTAAACACGTAAATCTAATTGAAATATATATCAAGAGAAACTAAAGGCTCAAAGAAGCATTGCTTATCTTGAATACTTTGTGACCTATTTCGAGATTGATATGTTAAAAGTAGAACATTAGTGGAACATAAACTGATACTAGCAATATTAGAACAAAGAGTGTGCATTTTTTTTTTGTAAATTTCAAGATTTTTAGACGAATATGCAATTTACAACAGGATTTCATTGGTAACTATGTGCCACCCCTGCCGCAACATTGGCCAAAAGATATAAAATCAAATGAGAATCATTTGCAGAGGATACTATTTAAAATCTTGACGTTCATTATTTGTGACAAGAAAACTGAAAATTGGCCAAGCGATTTCATATAATCATAAAATGATGACAATAAATATAAATAACAAAATGACTAAATATGATTTTCCATTCGGTTGCAATGGAACTATTTCTTAATACCAAATACCAAGAACTCATTTTCCACCAATCAACATTAAATGAGGAAATTTTGGAGAGGGTTTCCGTCTGGTTGTATTTTATTTAAGGTACATTCAATGTAATTTTAATGAACACCGCACTTTTTTTATCTCAATGTTTTTTGCTTACCAGATAATATGACGAGTTCTTCATCCTTCCCTAGTTTGTTTGAAGCTCTACATATGTACTTCCCAAAATCGTCAAGTCCTATCATTTTTATTCTCAGACTTAATGTTATTGTATTTTTGTTATCCTCTGTATACAGCTCTATTTGATATTTATAATTATTCTCTATCTCTTGTTCATGCCTAACCCAAGCACTATATATGTGTGGATTGGCAGTAATTCGACAATCCAGTATAGTCTCTTTTCCTATTGCCTGACTTATTCTTTTTGGAACTAAGTATATCTCTGGTGAAACTGTGAATATAGAGGTGTATATATTAGCATTTCGTGTTTCGTGGAATAAAACTGTTATCTTAAAAACATATTAAAATAATCATTATGTTCGGAACTCCGACTTAACATTTTCGTGTCGCATTATTAAAATGAATGATCGTTCTGACTGACTGCATTATATGATAGATACCAATGTCAGAAAAAACTTCGATGAAAAACTGATACATGTTAATATAAATGGACCATTTGCTGTATGTGAATATTGAACATTTAAACGATAATAGATTAAAAGAAAATATTTAAAATTGAAAGACTACTTAATAGAATTACTTTTTTTTTTTATTTCTGTAATAGGAATTTATAATTTCTTTTGACATATGTATACCAATTAATTTTGTTTGCTGTTCAACTAATTAGCCATTCTATGCACGTAACAAAATGCTTGAAAAAGTACCCAAATATATGATTAATAGGAAGACATTTCTTTTCCTATTGTAAATTCTCTTATCCTTGTTTTATTTTTTTGTTCCGTTGGCTCCATCTCATGGAGTGTACATTTCTCGGTTTGTTCGATATGCGCATGTTTGCAGGGACCTTTTAGGTATCAATGATCGCCATGGTTTTTTTTTACTAAAAGCTTTACACAGTATCGATATATAATTATCATAAACTGGGGAAAGGTTTATATGATTTTATCACAAATATAGATATTCGTTGTCGAAGTATGATTCCATATTTAGTAATTTAATAAAAGAGGTATTTCGCATCCAGTGTTTAACAGTTATATTATTTATAAAACAAATAGCTTATAAATGTTCCTTCGTATCTTGATTCGTCCTGAACATGAATGAAATATTTTCCACTGGACGTTAAACAACCAACAATCTATCAATACTATTTTGATCATTGCATAAATGGAGTTATTGTTGAAATTGGAGTAATAGCGTGGTTTGTATCTTTCAAGATATGCATCAATTGACTAATTTTTAGTTTAAATAGTTATAGTTTATTACTGAATTGTTTCTATTGTTTTCTGCATTGACATTCTGTTCAGTTTTTTTGTGGGCATTGCACAAGAATGTATTTCCTGTACCGTTTATGGCGTTGTTTTATAAAATCTTCTCAGAAGTTAAGCAACCGATATTAAATTGTATGCCAGCAATGATTCCATATCAGCAGGTTAAATACTTTGAGTTTGGTTTCAGTAATTTCAGTTGGTCGATGCCACTGCTGATGGACTATTAGTCTCCGAGGGTATTATGAGCTCAGTAGTCAGTGCTTTAGTACTGACATGATTTATAACATACCTTTTTTTTAAATTCCCTGTTGATAAATTCAAACATTATAAACAATCTAAGATTTCAAATCCCTCAGTCAAAGTTGCCATTTGTGAATTTGGCTAATCCTTTTAGATCCCTTTTTGTCATTTAGCTTTTAACATTTCTGTGTATTTATACAACATTGGCTTTGAATGTTTATGTTTGACTATACCTATTGAAGGTAATTCCGGGAAATCGCTTCGGACGCAAGGAATATACTAAGTGTAATTTTCATTTGTTGTGGTATATTATTGTTTTTAATATGATAAAGTAATAACCCGTTTTCCAGTGTCCTTCAGTATTTGTGGTGTGATTAATTCAAATTTTCAGTTGAAAATGTCGAAATAGAGAATTCTTGATATTGCAAGTGCGATGTTTAATTTTACATTAGACTTTGAATTTTAAAAATATAACCAGATTTTAATAAGAAGAAAGATAACTCTGATTGGTATTATTTTTACTTTTTTTATGTCCTTTCTTAAGTTATTTTTATACGTGTAGTCTTACGCCTGTTTTACAAACTATATGTATATTGTAAAGTTCTCTAATAAGGATTATAATTCGTTCTGTTTATTATTGTCCATGATATAATTTTAAACGATATCAAATATCTTTCCATCACATGTCCCTTTTGTTTCATTTATTTATTTATTTTTCTGATTTCATCTGTGTTTATATGTTAAATATGATCACAATAAGATTTTAGAATGTCAAAAATCTTACACTCCACAACAACTTTAATCTCTTTACTTGCTGCTGGTTGTATACCATTTACTGCTACACATTCATATAAATCTTCACAATAGCGGGATATGTTGTATATTATTAGTACTTCTCCATTCTGACCAACAACTGCAAAAATCATGAACAGTACTATACTAATTATTCAGTATCATAATAGATTGTGCTTTATTAGCGGGTAACAATTTTTACCATGAACTGAAAAAATTATAAAGTGCAATTAAATATTTACATTTAGATACTACTATTGTAATTAATCAAAATCGATTTTTCTTCTTTCGAGATAGATAAAGTTGAGGCTTTCCGGTGTGTCCAATATTTAAAATTTCACTATCTAAATTGAAGCAATATCGTATCCCACGATATGCTGACGTGAAATATGATTATTTTATGAATTTTTTTCTCGATAAGTTATCAGTGATCTAAAAAAATTGTTTCTTTTTTCTAAGAAACAAAATGAGGCACTTTCATCTTTTTAAACAACTTCACATTAACAAAATCTGAGGACGGCAAAAACATTTGTCATCATAATTTAATTTCAACCAATAAAGAACTGGGACCAATCGAACCATGCTTTGATTATCAAAAACCAATCGATCAGTCTGTGAAAGGACTTGCCGTTTATTACAAGTATTTTATCATCCTTAAAAAATTTGAAAAAGATTAGACGCAATACTATAATCTTCCGATTTATATACATCAGAACTTCCCTTTAACGAAATGTTATGTGTATTACTAAGTATTAAAAGTGCAACTTTCTTATCAACAACTAAATATACGAAACATACTAATTTCATTAATGCAATCGAAAGAAAAATATTAATGAAAACAATAGTATCTTGTGTATGTACTTATATAAGTAGTAATAGAATAATAATACTGATACTGATTGCAGTGTTATTGTTATGAGTAAAACGTCTGGAATATCATAAAGGAATAGCCAGAACTCATTAATTTGACAATATCAAATAATATAGTTCTTGGAAAAGAATGAAAACTTTAAAAAGATTCAAATGTCACAGCGGTCAAGGGTTTAGAATATAATGATAATAAAGAGATAATTAAGGAGTTTGGGTACTCATTGCCCTTCAACTTCGTATTTGATTCGGCCTTTTAACTTTTTTTTATTTGAATGTCACTGATCAGCCTTTTGTAGACGAAACGCGCGTCTTGCGTACAAAACTGTAAGCTTTGTATATTTGATAAGTTTGTTTTATAAAGGTAAGCATAATGTCTTTTTATACATTGATCTACATGCTACTAAGTATTTGCTTTCTAATTTTAAATTTTCTAGATTTTTGTTTAAATAAGAAGATGTGGGGTAAACATAAAAACAAAACATATTACAACGATAATACAATTATACAACAAAATAAGTATTTACATCTATAGGTTAAATACTGTGTTTTGGAGCAAGGCACCTACAAACAGTTCTGGTCGTACTGTTTACGCCTTCCTAGTTCTCAAATATGATATGTGATAGTGAGGCTTAGTTTAAACATGTGTTGTGCGTATGAAATCGTTTCATAGGTTATTTGTTTAAATAATGGACAAGCATTATATCACTCACACCAATCAAAATTGAGGATGAATTCGAAAGAAATTGTCAAATTTCCGACATAAATACTAAATGTCCAAGTCACCATTAACAGTTTATAGCTTTTTTGTCGTGTTTTGTAGTCAGTTTGTCTTTACGTCACTTTTATTATCGACACATGAGTTTGAATATCCCGTTGGTATCTTTCCCCTCTTTTTAACATTACGAGACATATAAAATTATTCCTGACTTTACGTTTGATCAGTTTCAAAAGATTTTAGTACAATTCCATTCCTGTTGTCATGAAACAACAAATTATTCAATAGAATACCAAATGATAAAATGATAATCACATGGAAAGAAATCTAAAAAAAAATATGTTCCTTCAACTTAATGTATCGCATGAACTTCAAAAAGAGCGGGACCTGTTTTGTCGACAGGGTCGAATCTCCTGCTATGTGATTCCACACTCAGCCAAAATGTCACAGTCGGGAATAAAACACAATCTTTAAAATTACAGATTAAACGACTTTTCATGTATCTATAGATATAAGACTGCAATAACATGTCACTAGTGAGACACAAACGTATCGTATCGGTCAACCAAATTCGTGACTGTGACCGTAAAACTCATGTAGTGTCGATTTTAGTCGTTATTCCTCATAATTCTGTTGTTGCAATTTGTGTAACATGCCGAAAATCGAAATCAAAACCACAACTACAAACAATGGAAGACAATACATCATTAAAGAATGATAGAACTGAAAGAGTCTATCTTAATTTTTAAATATTATCTGCATCGGAAAGTACCAAGACCTGATAGATGAACATTCAGTGTGTTCTTCACAAATAATACAATATGGTCTTACGTTATAGATTCTCGGTGCTAAAGTTGTGTATCATTTTATTTACTTTACAGTTTTTCCTCTTTTTTTTGTCTTTGTCCTATTATGTTCTTTTTGGTCGTATGACTCTTGACGCGACTCGGTTTTTATTCATCCAGCTATCGGGGTTTTTTTTTTGGCTTTGGTCGTTCGTGATACATGTGGGTCTAGAGGTGCATTTCGACTGCAAGAGGGTTTTTTATATTTAACTTCATTTGTACTTTATCGAGAGAGTGTGTACTATATACTGTATGTACTATCAACTACAATAGAAATAAGAAGATGTGGTATGAGTGCCAATGAGACAACACTCCATCCAAGTCACAATGTGTAAAAAGTTAACAATTATAGGTCAAAGTACGGCCTTCAACACGGAGCGTTGGCTCACACCGAACAGCAAGCTATAAAGGGCCCAACAATGACTAGTGTAAAACAATTCAAACAGGAAATCCAACGGTCTAATCTATATAAAAAACGAGAAACGAGAAACACTTATGAACCACATCAACAAACGACAACCACTGAACAATATTTTTTATATATTTTATATAGATAACAGATCAGCAAGTGTATAATTCATACGATGTTAAATACGTAGATTACGGTTTTTACGTTTACCATGAGACCTAATATTTCTTAGCCGTTTATCGACAATATTAATGACATTTCTGTTGGCGTCTTTCTTAGATTTATTTGTACGTATGTTTGTTTGAATTTTTAGTCAGTTGTGTTGTATGTCTGTGGTTTATGTTCACAAAGTATTGGCTGCTGGATCCCAATTATTGTCCCATCAACCTTAACCTATTGTCAGTTTGTATGAACTTTTTCTTCTTCCTTCTCGAATTTACCTTGGAGTTCGGTATTTTTGTTTATGCCTTCATACTTTAATTATAAATCAACAACTTTTTTATGTGACTAGTTGTAAAGAATGTTTAGAATGTAAAGGCCTTTAGTTTTTATAGACTGTTCTTTACAAACTGAAACTTTAATAAGATAAATCTTTGATATAATGCCAGTTCTGAAGCACTAACTGATGTTACATTCCGAGCTAACAGTCCACCGGCAATTAGATCGACGGAGTAGTAAGACAGGATGTTTGTATATTGATTGATTGATTGGTGTTAACGACCTTCAGCACTAAAGGCTTTTTCGTGGCGGTCAGTTTTTATTGGTGGAGGAAGCCGGAGTGCCCGGAGTGAAAACCCGATCTTCAGTAGATAAACAACTGACAATCTTAGTCCATTAAGTGTGGAGTCGGATGCACCTGCCTCGTGTGAGGGATCGAACCGACAACCTCAGTGTGGACAGGCTTCAAAGTGATATGTAGAAAAGAAAAGAGAGAAAAAAAAACTGCGACACAGCCAGGATCAACCAATTCTTGAAAGGGGATGTGAAGTACAGGTGAACGAACCATCGGAAAGCTATACTTATCTCTAATGTCTGCCTCGCAGCATTGCTGCAAAACTTGTTGAATTCAGAAATGTTTGATACTGATTGTAGCGATCACTACAATTTCTCTGGAACAACTCTTATCAGACACACTGAAGGTCGGAATAGAAATAGAAAAACAGAGAATAGACTACTTTAAAGTTAACACTCATCTTTATACTTTAAAGTTATACAAAAAGAGAATTCAATCAACTAATCCTTGGTTACCTTCTTTTGCTGGATGATTTATATCAGACCTACGTCTGTACCACGTGACAGTTGGTTCAGGAATTCCTGTTGCATTGCAAAACAGTTGCACGGTATCACCTTCTTTTGCTGTTTTCTTACTAGTTGATGATTCCTCAATAATCCTTGGAGGTTCTTAAATAGAAAAAACAGGAATAAAAAACTTCTATATTAACTGACATTAATCACATTTTTGTAGATTTCTATATAAACCAATTATGTTTTTATGTTATATAACTTGTTAAACGCATTAATACTTAATTCACCTGAAAATTGGACAAACTCTCCTGTAAAGCAAAAAGAAAGAAAAACTTTTTAAGTACCTAAACCTGTTAAAATTGAATCGTTGATGGCGAATATAAACTTTGACAGGAGTCCTTCGAGCTTGCCACTGAATATTGTTTACGTTTATGATATGATATTATGTCATAATGTATATGTAACGCACGAACAATTAAAGTAAAGTAATGTTAATGATAAAACTAATGACCTTAAATTAAAATGTAACACGCAACTCATCATTTTAAGTAAAATAATTAGATTTATTATAAGTTCTAGATTTGTTTTAAACGACGTGTATAATGTCCAATAATTATTTCATCTGCCAAAGTTAAAGCAGTAACAACTTCGAAAAATAGAAATTAAACTTTATTCAGTCTTCATTTTGTACACCTTCAACCAAATTGAAGTTATAATCATATTTTATCTTCTTCTAACATTTAAGCAGACTTGGAAAGTAGGGAAAATGTGCTTTTGACTAGAATACTGAAAATACTTAAACAAATTATACATGTAATATACTTTGACTTATGGTTATCCTTTAACAATTGAAGAAAAACCTACCATGTACATATAACATAACATATTTAATTTTGACTGGGTGAGTATTTATTTGGCACATATATTTACCTACCATGGACATATAACATAACATATTTAATTTTGACTGGGTGAGTATTTATTTGACACATATATTTACCTACCATGTACATATAACATAACATATTTAATTTTGACTGGGTGAGTATTTATTTGGCACATATATTTACCTACCATGGACATATAACATAACATATTTAATTTTGACTGGGTGAGTATTTATTTGGCACATATATTTACCTACCATGGACATATAACATAACATATTTAATTTTGACTGGGTGAGTATTTATTTGGCACATATATTTACCTACCATGTACATATAACATAACATATTTAATTTTGACTGGGTGAGTATTTATTTGGCACATATATTTTCCGGCATCAGAATGTTCAACCTCTCTAATGTACAAGTTCCAGTCATCTTTGAACGGTCGTTCTACACTTATCCTCGCATCTGATATAATGCGCTGGTCTCTTGCTGTTAACACCTTTTCTCTTGGGTCTAACCATGCTACCTGTAATAATTCATTATTTGTTTAGAGAATATTTACAAATGAAACATAAAAAATCAGAACTTAGATATATCGACAACACATTGCCTGTAATCTCATACAATCAATTTCTGTCTTTAATTATTCATCAAATGTTATTTCTTTTAATTTTGACCGTTATGTCTAGTCTTATTTATTCTTCTTCTTTTTCCTAGCACTACTGTAAAAAAAAATATGCAAAATGAAAAAAAAATCAGTAATGACACCTTCGTGGGTCTGATACTTTATTATTCAACATTGTGTGTTTGTATCTTCTACCTGTCATTTTTCCAACATTGAGGTATAAACAATCGAAATCAAGCTTACTCTTAAAAAGAATAAGTTCCAGTCTGTCAGCAGAATAAGCATCTATTGCTATGTATATCAATTAGTATGTGTTACGGCCGGGAACCAGACAAACAAATAATATTATCAGAGGGACCATAGTGGAATTGTCGAATCTATAACAGGGTCAACATGAGGAACATGTTATGTGTCGTGCAAAACTACTGCGCCCAGCCATTTCAAAGTGATTTTGATACAGTTTTTGTTTATGTTGTGCACCACTGTCCCAGTTTATAGGAGGGTTGAGAGCTCACAAACATGTTTAACCAAGCCACATTCTAATTCTATACGTGCCTGACCCAAGTCAAGAGCCAGCAATTTAGTGGTCGTCGTTGGTTTCTGGCTATTATATTTGTTTTTCGTTCATTGTTTTTCAATCAGGCCGTTTGGTTTTTTTGTTTTTTTCCACATTTTGCCATATCGGAACCTTTTATGGCTAACTATATACGGTATCGGCTTTGCTGATTGTTGAAGGACTTACGGTGACATATATTTGCTTTAATATATTTCATTTGGACTCTGTTGGATAGTTGCCTTATTTGCAATCATACAACATCTTTTTATTTTATATCGACACTGTATGTAACGATCAAACAATCGATCGTGGCTGTTATCGTAGAACTTGTGCACTTCTACATGTGGATCAGGATCTGCTTACCCTTCCGGAGCACCTGAGATCACCCCCAATTTTTGGTGGGGTTCGTGTTACTCAGTCTTTAGTTTTCTATGTTGTGTTTTGTGTACTATTGTTTGTCTGTTGGTTTCTAACTTTTTTAGCCATGGCGTTGTCAGTTTATTTTCAACTTATGAGTTTGAATGTCCCTTTGGTATTTTTCGCCTCTCTTCTAGCTTCAGTTTTTTCCTCATACCCTTTTACAATACTTTTTGATTAAGAGTATTCCACTTTTTATGAAATAACAATACATTAGGGAAAATGATACACAGTTAGTGACCATTGTTAAAACAGTTGCATTTAAAAGACCTGCCCAAGGAGTTACACAAATCATTATCATTGGAAGTTCAGCGTACTAACATTATCGGCATTTATTAATTTTATTGTGAATTAGTGTAATTTCGAACACGACATTATTTCTCTTTCTAAAACAAAACAAATGCACATGTTTCCTGAGTTTGAAGTATCTATGATTTCAATGAAAAAATTTAATTCGAAAGACATACAAGGCCATGACCGAAAACGGTCAACGACAACCAATAGTCTTAACACGTATATAGCACAAAAACATAATAAATTAGTCTCAAGAACTCCTATTATTCCGGTGGTGAAGTCAAAAATGTTTTTCATGACACCAATTCTTCTTATATATATCTATATCTCTTGATTTTATCTTATCGGTTGACAAAGTTTGAATTATTATCGCTTGATTTTATCTCATCGGTTGACAAAGTTTGAACAGCACAGAGCCTGTTACTGCTATATGTTAAACTGTCGTTACTTTTGTGGTATTTGAGGAGTTGAGGAAATATTACTTTATCTTAGTGTCAAGGAAATCAATTTTAGTTGATATTAGACTTGCCATTTTCAAAATGCATATTCTTAATCACTTAATTGGTTAACTGAAACATACATGACAACTACACACGATTTATTAAAATTGAAAATATAAATTACTTCGTGGAAATGGAAACAAGACTACCTATTTTTCATTTAATGTACAGTTGAAGTTAAATGCCTCAAATGTCATTCACTAAGCAATATTTCAGAATAAGGCAAACAAAAAGAGGAAAATTATTCCATTCCAGCTTAGCTGACTTGATTAATATATGACTTACCATCGATTTAAGTGTCCGTTTGATTGAATATTAACTTTGAGTTACTGTATGTTTTGACAGTAAGAAAGTGGTGAGTTTACCAAAGTATTCCCCGTGTTAATAAATTTCAAAATATCAAATTAATGGAGAAGTCGATTGCGTAAATAGAGAAAAGGAAACCAAGCCTAAATATTGAAATGAGATCTTACCTCCTCATAAATTTATTCATTTAATATTTGATATCTGCAAAATAAACGATTTATGCAATCCTTATAGAATGATCATCAACCATAAACATGATTTCATAACTGACTTCATGGCTCTTAATCACGTATCAATGGTCGTATGTTTAAAACAAATGTATGATTCATTCAGTTTCATTTCTAGTAAGTCTACTTTTGACTTTTTTGTTTCATCAAAATCATCAAACTTGAACAGTAAATGTTAACAAGACGTGAGTATTACTTAAGAAAACATCGAAATAAAAACCTATAAATGCTGGGCAAAATGTACTTTTGTAAGTTACATGGAGTGTTTTGTATTGTAAACAGCTATATAAATAAACACCTAAAAGTGCTGGACAAAATGTTTTCAACAACTGTCACTTGCGTTTAAGTGATTGTTTAATCAAAGAAAACTAGTATTGCAATCAACGAACTATATACACTTAAAACCAGCAAAACCGCACAAAACAAGTTAAATGGTATTCAACATTTAAATCAAAGTAATTCGAAATTAGGGAATAAATCATGGCAGCCATGGTACTTTGGAGATATCAGAACGAGTTGAATGGAATGCTTAAATTCTAACCCACACCGTACAAGTAAGTGAGGGTTAAAATGTTCGAAAAAATTAATCAACCATTGAAAATCTAAAATAGACCAGGGCCGTGGTGAACTGTATTGATTCTAATAGGAATATTAAGAACCTTTATGCAATCGAAGTGAACCTTAAATATAACTTCGAAAATCCGCAATTTTGATGGTACATGAATCATACTCCAATTTATTAATTCGTTTTCATCTTTTAAAAGGCGGATAAGTATATCCGACTTTTTCTTCATCCATGGTCTTTCAATAGAAACAAAAGAAGTAGTTTTTCATTTAACAGATTTGTTGGAAAAAGTAGTTTGCTAAGATTTTTATTTTTTGATTAATTAACATTACATAATGTTATAGTTGGAACCTGATCTTAAGAAGACAAACGACAGCAACAGCACTTGCCTATATCTATATCACCGGTTAAGATTCAATAATAGTCTTTTTACCAATCAAAATGTGTCTAGTCCAAACTAACAGTAACATGTTAACACTAAGCCATTAGCTAAAGAAGGGGTCTTGTAACTTAGTATAATGATATACATGTCTATTTTTAAAAATCATATGTTGACCTCAGGATATATTTTCGTATCATTGCCTTGCTGTCTTATTAAAATATTTCCTCAAAATTCCCATTTTGCAAACTAATCAATTATTTATTTTATTTCTACTCTTTTACTTTATGTTGAGAATATATTTTTAGTGACTGCAACACGTCATAAAACGTCAATGACAAGACGACATACTAGTACACTGAGAACTGTAGACAAACTTAGAACATTGCTATTTCACGCATATGTTCTTGCTATAGTTACGATGGTCACTGAATTTAATAAGAGGCATCAACAGATATTATTTTAAAATAAGACAGAATATAGACCATAATTGTGTAAAGTTAACCTAGAAGTTAAAAGCAGATTGTATTTCTAAGTGCATCTCCTCTTGCAACAATATAAAACATACACTTTTCTTAGCCCTTAACACAAGTAAACCTCGTTTAAAACTTGAAGAAAGATTCAAAGAATATGTCTTTTATTCCATAAAAATATGGCAACATAGATAAAAACAAATATCTTAGGGAAGGGAAATAATTTGCGATACTGCGATCAAGCAAAAATATATCTGAAACTGAAAATAGTAAGATGCTTGATTTCTTTATCAATAATTTGCAACTAGACGTTAAACAAACAAAATTGAATTAATCAATCAATCAATCGTAACATCATATTCATTAGGTTTGGTGGACCCATTTTATAACATGCCGTGGGCATTCTTATGGGAATCAGTTGTGATCATCTTCTAGTCGATTTTTATTTTCATTCGTATGAGGCATAACTAAACCGGGAATTCTCAAAAAGAATGGAAAGCTTAAGATACCATGTTTTCCTATTCAACTAGATAGAAAAATAGGCGGAAGAAACCAAAGGAAAAATGAAAACTGTTTGCCGCCTGGTATTATTGAAGAATTTTATTTTAATATATCATTTTATTGAAACACCAATTCATATTTTCTATGAATCGGTCAAAATAAATGCTTCTAACATGTCATTCTTAGATTAAACATACCCAGTGTTTACCTAACTGTTGTACAGAACATGGTAAAATGGCTGTTTCCCCAGCTTTTGCTGTGATGTTGAATAATGGAACATCAAAACTTGGCTCTTGTGGTTCAACTGTAAGGTAGAAGAAAACAATACATTTAGCAAATGAAAACCAACATTGAAGACTTGTTTCGGAATTTTGCATTGTTTGTACAAGTTGGATTTACTTGACAAATTTCTTCAAAATTTAGCCGTACTCATATTACTCAAAACTCAAAAAAGGGACAGAGAAGATAACAAATAGTAGAACATTGTGTTCTTTTTGAAGCACTATTTCCAGTTTACACTAATCAGAATTATAATTTTATAAATATCTAACGGAATTGCCTGCAACAATTGGAATTTTCTTCCATACTGATATAATAATTTGATTTGATGAACCATACTGAGCTCAAAGGAATATTGTTCTTTAAAAGAAGACAAACAGATAAAACCTTTCTTGTAACATGATACAGTATTCTGCCTGTTTTTAATTCTATAATAGGAAAAGATGTGGAATTTTTCTATCCATTGTGTATCGTTATTCCAATTTTGACTCTGATGGTCAAAGCTCATTTTCAACGAAAAGCTCAATCAGGCGTTATATTATTCATATTTATATCCAAACAATGAAGTGTAAGTAAATAAACAAAAGATGATGTCGGATGCAGTTCATTGTTCGTTTTACCGTGAATGAGCCTTTCATTCCGATCGATTTTCTTTTGTCTAAGCGGCCATAGGAAACAATTACTGTCATATCGGCAAAATACATGATAAATGACGAGTAAGGATTGTTTTAAGCCTTTGTAATGCCCTGTGTATTGTCCTGAGATTATCAGACTCGTGCAATCAAATGTTATGTACATCTTAAATTGATTTGGACACAAATTGGACGTTATTGTAACAAACTGTGGGACATAATCACAAGATGCTCTAGATTGGTGTTTGGAGAAGTAAATTTATTAAATTTGTTGTTGTAACAAATAAGTCAAGACGTTTGTTTTGTAAAACAGCTTGTAATTTGATAACTAATCTAATTCAGTCATTATAGAATTCCCTCAATAGACATTAACTTCAAGACTACACGGAGTCTTTTATAGATGATTTCAAACTGTTTTCACTACAAATCGATGCTAATTTTTTAAATAAATTTCATTGTGGCAGCAATTAGCAGCTAGAAGCAGTATTTACATGCATTATAAAACACCAATAACGCTGTAGGTTAATACTACTAATAAGATCAGAAATCAGTAAATTCTTCATGTAGGAAAATAAATCAAAACTACAGTTTCGAATAAAAAGGGATATTTATGAAGCGAAATATAATACTTTCCACAAAAGATGTTGTATTTAAAGGATCATTTCACATTTGTGTATTTTTGGTTAAGAATTTCTGCATCAACAGGCTGGTCAGGTGGTGATATCATCGGGATGATCCCAATAGAAATAACAAAATAATTTGAAAAAAAAAATAAATGATAAGAATGTAAATTTTCAGCAGCTTTTCAAATAAATACTGAAGCAAAAAACCAAAATTGTTTTATATTTCGCAACGAAATGGAGAAATCAAAACCATTTACACTATTGTTAAAGGTTAACTGCATTTCTTTCTGTGAATGTTATGTATGTTCCAACATTTCGAACTCGACGTTTTATCATTTGTAGGTTAAGAGAGTTTAATTCGTTCCTTTTTTCCAGTGAAAATATATTACGTCTCATTCCGGCACCATGGCATTGACATGTCCGAGATAAAAAGAAATTCTTCGTAGATCTGGATGGCTGTTAACTATATAAAACCATGTATATAGATATACTAGTACAACTATAACATGTATGTGAGTCATGCAGATAGTACAAACCACATATGCCACTCCTCTCGCTCAACATCGTAAAGCAATCATATACATTAGTTAATAGAACACAAAATGTCTAACAGTGTTAATAACATTACGGATTAAACAGTTCATGAGAAACTTGGGAATGAACTAACAACAGAGATTTTTGGGCTAAGTCACCAGAAAAAAATTCCAATAACTGTCGTCACCATGACATTATTTACGACTTTATCGAACTATTGTATCTATATTGAGTTCATTGAAGTTTTAACCAGAAACTATTTCCTCGGGGTTGACCTGGCATAGCCCAACGTCGTAAATATATATATATACCATCTTCGGCGCAAGTTTATTGTTTTCTGTTTGGTATTAAATTTATAGTTAAGATCCATTTACTACACCTTGTGATCCGTTTATTTGGCAATCGCCAATGACAGTCAGCAGGATTTAAGAACATTTGTTGTTCGACCTGTTAGTCAAATCCGTTTTGTTAAAATATACTTTTTCACTTTTTTTGGTCTTTTGGAAAATGTTGTTTGTGCTGTATTTAGACCCCTCTAACAAGAAATTGTTTGCATGCACACGTATAAAAATTGCGGTTTTTATCCAACGCAATCATAGGTTTGAACGTTGTTTTCAATTTAGACTTGTTTATATTTTTTCGTTTGGGCTTGTATTATATTTGCCTTCGGGTTTATATGATCCGTTCATCCTATTTTGACTCCTCAAAATTCAAGAGTCTATCCTAAATTGAGGTAAATAATGTAGCCTTCCAATAACCGTTTCGATTTCTAACATCACTGAAGAGACATTAATTGTCGAAATCCGGATATGGTGTACAAAAAATCTTTGCACCTTTGTTTGCGGTATACCATCTTCGCCGCAAGTTTATTGTTTTCTGTTTGGTATTAAATTTATAGTTAAGATCCATTTACTATACCTTGTGATCCGTTTACTTGGCAATCGCCAATGGCAGTCAGCAGGATTTAAGAACATTTGTTGTTCGACCTGTTAGTCAAATGCGTTTTGTTAAAATATACTTTTTCACTTTTTTGGTCTTTTGGAAAATGTTGTTTGTGCTGTATTTAGACCCCTCTAACAAGAAATTGTGTGCATGAACACGTAAAAAAATTGCGGTTTTTATATATATACAAGTCTAAATTGAAAACAACGTTCAAACCTATGATTGCGTTGGATAAAAACCGAAATTTTTATACGTGTGCATGCAAAAACAAATTTCTTGTTAGAGGGGTCTAAATACAGCACAAACAACATTTTCCAAAAGACCAAAAAAGTGAAAAAGTATATTTTAACAAAACGCATTTGACTAACAGGTCGAACAACAAATGTTCTTAAACCCTGCTGACTGCCATTGGCGATTGCCAAATAAACGGATCACAAGGTGTAATAAATGGATCTTAATTAAAAATTTAATACCAAACAGAAAACAATATACTTGCGGAAAAGGTGGTATACCGCTAACAAAAGGTGCAAAAATTAGTACACCATATCCGGATTTCGACAATTAATGTCTCTTCAGTGATGTTAGGAATCGAAACGGTATTTGGAAGGCCATATAATTTACCTCAATTTAGGATAGACTCTTGAATTTTGAAGAGTCAAATTAGGATGCATGGATCATATAAACCCGAAGGCAAAAATAATACAAGCCCAAACGAAAAAATATAAACAAGTCTAAATTGAAAACAACGTTCAAACCTATGATTGCGTTGGATAAAAACCGCAATTTTTATACGTGTGCATGCAAAAACAAATTTCTTGTTAGAGGGGTCTAAATACATATATATATATAGGGGTCTAAATACAACACAAACAATATTTTCCAAAAAGACCAAAAAAGTGACAGTATATTTTAACAAAACGCATTTGACTAGCAGGTCGAACAACGGATGTTCTTAAACCCTGCTGACTGCCATTGGCGATTGCCAAATAAAATGATCACCAGAAGTAACAAAATGGATCTTCAATATTAATTTAATATCAAACAGAAAACAATAATTTTTTTTTTTTTTTTTTTTTTTTTTTTGACAATGTTTGCGGTATACCATCTTTTCCGCAAGTTTATTGTTTTCTGTTTGATATTAATTTAATATTTAAGATCCATTTTGTTACTTCTGATGATCATTTTATTTGGCAATCGCCAATGGCAGTCAGCAGGGTTTAAGAACATCCGTTGTTCGACCTGCTAGTCAAATGCGTTTTGTTAAAATATACTTTCCCCCTTTTTTGGTCTTTTGGAAAATGTTGTTAGTGCTGTATTTAGACCCCTTTACCAAGAAATTTGTTTTGCATGCACACGTATAAAAATTACGGTTTTTATCCAACGCAATCATAGGTTTGAACGTTGTTTTCAATTTAGACTTGTTTATATTTTTTCTTTTGAGCTTGTATTATATTTGCCTTCGGGTTTATATGATCCGTTCATCCTATTTCGACTCTTCAAAATTCAAGAGTCTATCCTAAATTGAGGTAAATTATATGGCCTTCTAAATACCGTTTCGATTCCTAACATCACTGAAGAGACATTAATTGTCGAAATCCGGATATGGTGTACTAATTTTTGCACCTTTTGTTTGCGGTATACCATCTTTTCCGCAAGTTTATTGTTTTCTGTTTGATATTAAATTAATATTTAAGATCCATTTTGTTACTTCTGATGATCATTTTATTTGGCAATCGCCAATGGCAGTCAGCAGGGTTTAAGAACATCCGTTGTTCGACCTGCTAGTCAAATGCGTTTTGTTAAAATATACTTTGTCACTTTTTTGGTCTTTTGGAAAATGACGTTTGTGCTGTATTTAGACCCTTTTACCAAGAAATTTGTTTTGCATGCACACGTATAAAAATTGCGGTTTTTATCCAACGCAATCATAGGTTTGAACGTTGTTTTCAATTTAGACTTGTTTATATTTTTTCGTTTGAGCTTGTATTATATTTGCCTTCGGGTTTATATGATCCGTTCATCCTATTTCGACTCTTCAAAATTCAAGAGTCTATCCTAAATTGAGGTAAATTATATGGCCTTCCAAATACTGTTTCGATTCCTAACATCACTGAAGAGACATTAATTGTCGAAATCCGGATATGGTGTACTAATTTTTGTACCTTTTGTTTACGGTATACCATCTTTTCCGCAAGTTTATTGTTTTCTGTTTGATATTAAATTAATATTTAAGATTCATTGTGTTACTTCTGGTGATCATTTTATTTGGCAATCGCCAATGGCAGTCAGCAGGGTTTAAGAACATCCGTTGTTCGACCTGCTAGTCAAAAGCGTTTTGTTAAAATATACTTTGTCATTTTTTTGGTCTTTTGGAAAATGTTGTTTGTGCTGTATTTAGACCCCTTTACCAAGAAATTTGTTTTGCATGCACACGTATAAAAATTGCGGTTTTTATCCAACGCAATCATAGGTTTGAACGTTGTTTTCAATTTAGACTTGTATATATATATATATATATATATATATATATATATATATATATATATATATATATATATATAGAAATTTGTTTTGCATGCACACGTATAAAAATTGCGGTTTTTATCCAACGCAATCATAGGTTTGAACGTTGTTTTCAATTTAGACTTGTTTATATTTTTTCGTTTGAGCTTGTATTATATTTGCCTTCGGGTTTATATGATCCGTTCATCCTATTTCGACTCTTCAAAATTCAAGAGTCTATCCTAAATTGAGGTAAATTATATGGCCTTCCAAATACCGTTTCGATTCCTAACATCACTGAAGAGACATTAATTGTCGAAATCCGGATATGGTGTACTAATTTTTGCACCTTTTGTTTGCGGTATACCACCTTTTCCGCAAGTATATTGTTTTCTGTTTGGTATTAAATTAATAGTTAAGATCCATTTTGTTAAATCTTTGTGATCCGTTTATTTGGCAATCGCCAATGGCAGTCAGCAGGGTTAAAGAACATCCGTTCAACGGTTCGACCTGCTAGTCAAATGCGTTTTGTTAAAATATACTTTTTCACTTTTTTGGTCTTTTGGAAAATGTTGTTTGTGCTGTATTTAGACCCCTCTACCAAGAAATTTGTTTTGCATGCACACGTATAAAAATTGCGGTTTTTATCCAACGCAATCATAGGTTTGAACGTTGTTTTCAATTTAGACTTGTATATAGAAATTTGTTTTGCATGCACACGTATAAAAATTGCGGTTTTTATCCAACGCAATCATAGGTTTGAACGTTGTTTTCAATTTAGACTTGTTTATATTTTTTCGTTTGAGCTTGTATTATATTTGCCTTCGGGTTTATATGATCCGTTCATCCTATTTCGACTCTTCAAAATTCAAGAGTCTATCCTAAATTGAGGTAAATTATATGGCCTTCCAAATACCGTTTCGATTCCTAACATCACTGAAGAGACATTAATTGTCGAAATCCGGATATGGTGTACTAATTTTTGCACCTTTTGTTTGCGGTATACCACCTTTTCCGCAAGTATATTGTTTTCTGTTTGGTATTAAATTAATAGTTAAGATCCATTTTGTTAAATCTTTGTGATCCGTTTATTTGGCAATCGCCAATGGCAGTCAGCAGGGTTAAAGAACATCCGTTCAACGGTTCGACCTGCTAGTCAAATGCGTTTTGTTAAAATATACTTTTTCACTTTTTTGGTCTTTTGGAAAATGTTGTTTGTGCTGTATTTAGACCCCTCTACCAAGAAATTTGTTTTGCATGCACACGTATAAAAATTGCGGTTTTTATCCAACGCAATCATAGGTTTGAACGTTGTTTTCAATTTAGACTTGTATATATATATATACATCATGTTATAATGTTACAAATTTAACAAAAGGACGTTGGTAAGGTCTCCATCTATATATTTACAAACATATTATTCCCTGTACGTTAGACCACTGTATACAGTGAATAAGACAAACTTGAAGGTACTCTGATGTTTTAAAATACAACAACCATGTTAAAAGACGAGCAGCAGCATCGTGTGTGATATGTTGATTGGTGAAGAAGTATGCAGTTACTTAAATAGGAAATGTTTATGAAAT